TAAGCAGTGCTTGCACACATTCATACATACATACATATAAGAATAATCAATTGAATTTTTCGCACAAATCAAACAATGCAAATTAATCATGGCGTTGAATTTTTCCCCCACTAGCGAAGAATTCATTGTGGAGGCCAAGCCAGGCGCTAAGAATTATGCCTACCTCTCCCATCCGCTGCCACTGCATACCGACCTGCCCTACTACGAATACAAGCCGAGCGTAAACATTCTGCACTGCCTGGTGCAGTCGAAGTCAGAAGGTGGCAGTAATCTGCTGGTCGACGGATTTTACATTGCTGATCGCTTGCGCGCCGAACATCCAACGGATTTCCATATACTTACAGAGACGTTGGTCGATTGGAATGATATCGGCAGTGAGGATGGGCGGAGTTTTCATAACATCTGGCGGGCGCCGGTAATATGGTGAGTCGAATGCGAAAAGGAAGTACTGCAGCGCATAAAGGAGTACTGAGTAGTTAGTGGTGAAGTAGGAGCCCCCATCGTGCCATTAAATCAATGCAGCTGCGGTGGCTTCAGACGTCCTCAGTGGCGCTATTTAATTTATTTGCCTAGCAACCAAGGCGTCAATTCCCAAGGCAAACTTTAAGCGGCCGAAGAAAATCGAGTTTCTCAGCTACTTTCCCGCACTCGCGTGTTGTTTTCGTCCGTTGCCACATTTGCATTGCGCGATTTTCCTATGCACACCAGTGATTGCAGTTGCGGTAGGGCGCCTAAGTGTATGCAACAAAAATCGATTTTCAATTTTATTTATAGCCTTTAACTTCGGAGTAGTGACTCCACGTCGTTTTGTACGTTTTTCATGTCGCCGCTGCTGTCGCTTCATTTACAACTCATTTTCCTTATTCGTTTTTTTTTTGTGCGCGCACATTACTTAGGTACATACTTTCTGCTCTCCGCCGCCTCTACTAGTGCGCCGCGCCGCAGCCACTTTTCGAACATCCGCAGTACACATATTTTTTTGCAACCTTTCCTCTTTTTCTCTTTTACAGTTTAGACAGTGACGGAAATTACACGCGTATAAATCACAGCGTTCCCCAGCGCGACAGTCATTTCTCCGTGCCGCTGCGCTCCGTTATACCCTGGTATCAGGCCTATGCCAAGTTTGTGCGTTTGGCGCGTCGCGACGCCTTTGCATTTAAAACGAAACCCGGCGACGTTTTGACTTTCAATAATATCCGTCTGTTGCACGGTCGCACCGGGTACGATGACACCGAGCAGAATATACGGTACATTGTGGGCGCCTACCTCGACTGGGACATCATCTATTCGAAGCTGAGAGTGTTGAAAAGCACACAGGCACAAAGCGCCAACGACAGCAATGCTGCAGCAGCAGCCGCAGCGAGAGACCTGCAGGCATCAGCGACAGCAAGAACAAAAACAGGCGGCTTATAGCATCACAGCCGCTAGAGGCCTCCGCTGCCGGCTGCCAGCTGCACAACCACAACGCGCCTCACAACAATTGGCGCACTGCTGTTTGAGGATGTCAAGAGGCGAGCAACAACCGACGCAGCTGCTGTGGTGGTAGTAAGAGGAATAGAAGCAACAGCGGCGGGGGGGTTTGCGGTGCAATGTTTTCTATTATAGAGTTTTTTTACCGACATTGCCTTCATTATTTTTCGAATCCTCTTTTGCTTTTTTTCTGCTTTTGTTATTGTGTTTGCATGTCTTTTAGAGTTTTATTGATTTTTAATAAAGTAGCGAACAGCAGGCGGCCGGAAGTTGTGGTGACATTAAAGAGGATAATTTGCTTGCTTTCGCGCTTAGATTATAATCAAGTGGCGAGATTAAATTGTAAAATGCAATGAATAATTCATTGAAAAAATCTTATCATTTGCGATGCCTTTAATTAGTTTAAACAAAAAATTTCTATTAAATATTAAGCTACCGAAAAAGTGTATTTTTACGTAATTTTTATAATCAATTGTGTTCGATACCAATAAGAAAGTGCAACGATGGACAGTTAAATCGAAATGAGATGAAATTAATTTCAAATCGATTTAATTAAGATTCGGGTTCCTAGGAGCTTCTTATCTGTCCACTTTCCCTCAAGGGATGAGTGGGCCGGGCGGGACTTCTGGAGGAGGGGTGCGGTGAACTCCTCATACTCACAAAGTCAAAGGTCTCACTTCTGGTGGGGGGTTTTAATGGGTCACTGTCCTATCGGTATTCACGCAGTAAGGTTGAACATTCTACCGGACCCCTTATGTCGCGGTTACCTGGTAGAGGAGGAGGTAGAATCACCTCAACACTTTGGCTCTCACTTAAAGCCCCAAAGGAGCTCTGGGGCATTGAGATCAGGCGTTTTAGTAAACTGTTCCAAATTGTGGTATCGCAAAGGACAATCTTATATTGTCTAAGTGTGCTCCGGTTACACGGGACTACTACCTTACCTAACCCATTAAGATTCGGCAATCAGTTGACACAGTACAAATAGGACTTAGAGAAGCATCTATTTATGTAATCTTCTGTACTCACTACCGGAGTATTTTTACTGTTGATCTCTCTAGAAGTAATTCTTTCAAGTTTCCGAGATGATCCTCTGTTTTCATCGTAAATTTCCGAAAATTGAATACTTTCTTCTCGTTGCGGAATATAAATTGATCTTCTGATTCGATTCTCAACATACTTTCTGAAACCGTAATTCCATTACACCGCACTCTTCCTACAAGAACAGAAACGAGTTTTAATTTGTCTAAGCAAATAGAATTAACGATTTTCATTATGCTCATACTGAGTATATGTTAGGTCCTCGAATCGTAGGTATGTCTAACCGGCTATGCTGAGATACGTACTTGTAATTTGAATGACCTTTGTGTACTGGAACCTGGTACAGCAGGCAACCACGTTTTTAGGCCCAGCGAAGTTGATCAACCTGACTCTGTTATCGGACGTTTCGTTGTCGATGCTGAGTTTTTTCTGCGGTGGCACCAAATATCCCTTGTCCAGCCTGTCACTTAATTCGCCAAACACGATTTTAATACCGTTACAGGTCAGCGTTCGTAGGTGTGATCCAAGCGCTAATGAATTAGATCTTTGAATATTTCGTACTTCCGTTGGGCGAGGGCACAAAATAACGAGATGTTGAAGAATCTCTTATTGATGCAGATTGGGACGAGAAGCTCGACAGCACTCGGCGCCGAAGTCTCTTTCCCATCATAAATTCAACACCGAATTTGCGCTCTTTTACATGGCAACAGTAATAGACATAACAAGTTTTTTTGTTGTCTTGTTTCTTTCATCGCATTTCTTGCATGGCGGTGTTTTCGGTTTTTGTCTCCACGAGGACATCAAACAACCGTGTATAGACTCTTTCTCCATTATAGTTTCGAACATCCGCAGTACATGCACTCAAATCATACCCATTTTAACGTTAATCTATGATATCTAAAAATGGAGTCTCATCTAAAGCTTTCTGAACCTTTTAATTGGAATTCGTTTTGACGAAGCGCTAGAGGCCTTTCCCTTTTACTGTGACCCAGTAGTAAATGCGGATTGGTAGTCTTATTCTCATATTGCACAGGGTGTACGAACGCGCATTCAAGAGCAGAAATTGAGTAAAGTCAAGAGACTGTAACTGCATACAAAGAAGATCCAATAAAATTCATTGATTACCTTCCATGTAGAAAATATGAAACAATTTTGGTATGAAATTCCTATAATCCAACTATGCAGAGTGTTTCGAAATTACAAGCCGGGAAGAGATACCTGGCTAAGGATCCATGCAGGCAAAAATAAGGCCATTAGTCGGGCTCCTATTTCAACTTCCTTTGCATCGTATGATTTAGAAAAAAAAAACATTTTTATTACGCGGTCTCCATAGAACCATTGCTAGAGAAGGATTTGTAAAATTTTGCTCTAACAAATTCCAAAGTACGTAAAATGTAGACTTGAAAATTAAATCGAAAAACTTTTTCGATGTCGAAACGCGCCTATATATGCCAGTAGGTGATTTATTCGAATCTCTTAAAACTTTTTTGGAGTGCTTTAAGTTTATCACACGATTAGGACGAATGTATTACTTTCCTTCTAATGCGCGACTGAATTTAGACGATATAGAGTCAAATTTGCTTTTAGAGCTTTCGGTCATAACAAAATAAATACTTGCATGCCTGTGTACATATGTATGTATGCCCTGCCAAGAAAAGCATGTACATATAATTTTTTTCTTATACGACCATATGTAAATTTACAACTATACAAAATTGTAGCATTTACATATGCATGTATTTAGGTATGTGATTTAAATCGCAAGAAAACTTTTGCTTAATGTACTTTTAATGGTTTTTTCAAGTCGTAAAGTTGCCTGGTTTTGAGGGCAATCGTGGGTAAGAATAGCTACGGGTAAACAAATGAATGTTTGTGTATGTATGTGTATATATATAAAGAGCGAAACCATGATTAGTCCTTCATATTTATTTTGCTACATAAAAAAGTACAAAAGAGCATGTGGCGGCGTGTCAAAAAAAAAAAATAAAATATAAAAATACCCTCTCTTCCTTACACACCCTGCAGAAATCACTAGCAATATATGTATGTACATAATTAGAATTGAAATATGACTGTATTATTTGTTATCAACGACAGCAAAACTCGAGACTGGATAATACTTTTGCGTTGAACCGCAAAGAAAGTTCATCGCACAGGGAGTGAGCACGAAGGAGGCAGAGGAATTTCTCAGAAGAAATGAAAAATCTCAACATTGTTAACAACCAAGCGAGGCAAGTTTTCCAGCCAATTACATGCGAATTCCATAAACATTACACGCCAAAGGTTTATGTGCCTTAGTTAAGTTATGTGCTTGTAAGTCATGCATACATCAACATATCCCTATACATATGTATGTACATTAGGGTGGTCCAAAAATGCATGTGGAAAGTAAGGTCTGAATTTTTAAGCTCTCATCCCTAGGATTTTTCTATACTGAATTAAATATGCCACTGTTTTTTTTTTTTTATTTTGGAATGAAAAACTATTTAGAGGTCGCTGAAAGCGCTCACAGTCTTCCATGTACTTTATAAGGAAGAAAAACATTGTTCGTGGAATCGAAGAACTCTGTTTGTTTTCACCAGACTTCCTGTAATAATACCCAATTTTTTATTTGAATATTTTTTCACGCTGACTATACTTTTGGGGGACCAAAAAAATCGCTAGTATTAAAAATTCCTAAAATGAAATATTTTCTATTAAGATTTGCAGTATCTTAAAGAGAAAAACAGTTTTCCGATCGAAAAGTATTAGTTTTCGATAATTTTATACCATTCCTACGAAAAATTGTTTTTTTCCCCATATGAAATACATGGAAATTTTTGAGCGCTTCGAGCGACCTCTAAATATTTTTTGATCTCAGAATGAAAAACAGGGTATATTTTTCTGCACCGAACAATCCTAGGGCCACCCCCTTCGCATTGAAATTTTGACTTTACTTGTTTTGGACTATACTTGTTATGCACATGCACGCACACAGATTTATGCTCACAAATATACTAACTATACATACATACATAATATACTAATAAATTACATTAGACCGCATCACCAAAAAAAGTTGCGGGATTACAACGTCTATTATATTTTTAGGCACCCACCAAAATATTTCCCAAGAATATTAAGATTTACGTGAGCTGGACTGATTTGAAAACACCTCCAAAAATGGAGTTTTTTATGAATAAATATAGATTCTTAAAGAACTTTTTGAAAAATGTCTCCTCAGATGACCAAATAGATTAGGGTTAAAAAATCTGCATAAAAATATTTAAAAATCTTTCCAACTAAATCGTAATAATGGGATTTTTGATGCTGTTTTTTTTTTACTTTTTTCAAAGATTGATTTACGAAAAACTTAAATAACTCGGTAGAAAGGTATTTTCCCACTATTCCTATTTCTGTGCAAAAAAAAAGTCATTCGTGTTCCATTTTTTTTTTTTTTAAATATGAACACATCTTAATGCAACTTTAAATGACGTTCGTTCATCCTACCTTTTTCTTTCATCTTTTGAATGAGTTTATTAGCAAAGATATATATGAAAGGGTGATAAAATACCTTTCCAATGACACCTCTTAAGTCTAAATCGGAAGAGTTTAGGTTCAGCTATTCAAGTTTTTCTTATACCAATCTTTGAAAAAAGTTAAAAAACAAATTAAAAATTTTTTTTTATTATTACTATTTTTATGTAAATTTTTTAAGCTAAAGCCGTTTCGTTATTTGAGGGGATTTTTCAAAAAAAAAAACAAGTAAAAGCAGCGCTGTCTTCGGCTATGCCGAAGGCTTCATACCTTTCATGAACATCTGAGTAACGTAACGTAAAAACGTACAAAGAGTACCGATTTTTTTTTGTATGGGGAGTGATGCAGTCTAATGTGCATATGTACATACATATGTATGTATGTACTAAGTAGCAACATCATCGTCTGAAAAATCCGCATTTACTTCTCACATTCTTTCGGTGCGTTGATAATAAAATAAACTTTTAACGAGAAAAAAATGGAATTTAACAATTCGTAAGTCAAAGCGAAAATTGGCGATAATAAAACGAAAGGAGGTGGTCTAAATACATACTAGATTCGAAGCAAAAGTAAATGTGAATAAAATGACAATAAGCTGCTGCTTTGTGACATAAAAAAATACCGAAAGCGTAATAAAAATAAAATCGCAATGAAAATGTAATAACAATGACACATTTTTCCAGCCAATTTGATAAGCAATAACAACAAGAGCATCATCTACGACAGCTGGTAGCAAATGAGAGAGAATAAAGTAAGTAAGCTTCATTCGTTAAACCACCTACTAAGGCAATCAGCATGACAATCACCAACAGCTCGCCATTATCTGGCCGCAAGCCCGCAGGGTGGGACAGTGAAATTGGAAAATACGTTTGCTGAGCTTATTATGTCTAAATAGTAGGGTGATTGACTAAGTTTTTTTTGAACCCGTTTTAGGCAGTTTTTTTCCTAAGTTTTTGGACGTTTTTTTTTGTTTTTGAAATCGTTATTGTTCGAACAACGAAAAAACGCAGTTTTGTTACCCGGGGTTTCATCTAGAATGTTTATATAACTGCTTTTTGTTTAAATGATACATAGATAGTAATTATGGGTCTGTATATCGATTTTCCAGCTCAGGTCATTTTCCAAGACATTTTAATTTTTATGAAAAAAATTCAAATTTTACCATAAAAGAAATTAAGAAACTAACAGCCTTTAGAAAGTTTTGCTTATTTGTGCTAAAGGCTGTTCTGTTGCCAATAACGATGAAAATCGATGGAAAAATAAGAAGCAGGAAGTAATACCCCATATCGTAAATGGCCGTACTCGTTCTTACTCGTACATGTCGTATGAGTAATATTTTCCATTTAAAAATTTTAATTTTTCTTCATTCGCGGCATAAATTTAAAATGAAAATATCTTGGGAAAATGACCTGATCTAAATAAAAAAGGGTATAAAGATCCGTGTTCCCCGACTCAAAATTAAGTTCCCGTGTCTTGTCGTTTTAACTTATTCCATTTAATTGCCTTACTTTGAGAGAAACTGCCCTTAACTCCAAAACCGGTTTTGGAAAAAAGTCTAATAATCCAGAGTCCTACTAAACACATATGTAGCTATTGAGCAGCTTTAAATAAAAATAGGGAAAATGAGCGCCAAATAATATAGTGTTGTATTGAGATCAGTGATGGGCATCTTTAAGTTCTTCTGTGTTTAGTAATCCAGTTTCGGTACTAAATACCCAAAGTATAATAATAAATATCCAAAAATTTAGAGCTCAGTTAGTCTAGACTTAATTTCGTAACTAAACTTAACTTAACTTAATATTTTGGCCAAACTTTTATATGAGAAACTGTGTTTGCGGTAAGTCAAAACTTAACTTACAGTAGTTGCGACCTTATTGAAATTGAGAAGGGTGACAAATCAGGCTTGCCAGGTTTTCGTTTTTTTTTTTAATTACATGCGTGATACTTTTTTTGCAGCTTAACAGAGCTTGAAAAAATTTTGCCCGCGGGCAGGCCGGTGCTCACCACTGTTGTAAATCCTACCAGATTTGAGCAGTATCCTTCCGGATAAGCCGTATTCCGAATGTATTCAGGATACCCAGCACATCCCAAACTTGTTTGTTTCAGGCAGTTATTCTGGTGCGCGGGTAGTTATTTAAAAATTATAAATCTTTAGATTTTCAAGCCATTTCTCAATATATATAGAATTCAACTTAGTTAAATGCAATGAGACACAAGTATGCGTAAACTAGCACTATTTATCAGCAGACATTGACCGAAAATTTTGGATTTATCGTTTCTTTGCAGGAAATTCTTACCAACATATATTAGTTACATCAGTAACTATTTATGTACACTCTAAGAAAAATTGTGTTTAAATTTGCGCATATAAAGAGCGGTAACCAGTGTCCTCTCCTATTGTGTGTAAATTTAAGCACCGAGTAATAAAACTAAACACTAACTGTTTACTTTTGTATACCAAATTTGCCGCGTAGAGCAGGATTACACATAAAATGTTTAAAATTGAGCAAATTTGAGCACCTAGTGTTTATTATTAGTAAAAAATGTGTTTTACTTTAAAATTTTTTACAATTTTAAACATTTTATGTGTATATTTTGAACATCTCATGTTCAAAAACAAATCTTAGACATCTTGTGCGTATATTTACATATGTTTTATATATACCTGCAAAAATACGTACTTTAGTTCAAAGAAAAGAAGTGTAATAAATATTATTGTGTGATATTTCTACATTATTCTGCTGACAAGATAAAATTGCTAAAGCTTATTTACTTACAAGCGGATAAATGAGATAAAACGTTTGCTAGAATGATTGACAGAAAGGAGACCCCCTATGTTATCACTCTCACCAGCTACATAAACACTGCTTCCCAACAAACATCCGCTACTCATTTCCATATGACTATAATAAAATGTAGCACAGTGCTGTCAAATATTATTAAACTCCTTGCTATTAAAAAATGCCCGCACAAGCACATGAAAATAAAAATAAATAAAAATTGGCATGTATTTAAACTTTTTTCATACTCTCAATTCCTTTTGCAAATTGGCTTGCGTTTAGTGCTGACTTTTGCTGCTGTGGCAAAACATTTGACTTGCCTGACTAACCTACCTGCCCACTTTGCTGCCACAATTTTGTTTACCCAGCATGAAGCTGCAACAATAACTTTGCCACCAATGACTTGGTTGCTTGCTTGACATTTGACAGCAATTAGTGTATGTGTGTAGTAGAGTAGAGTGCGAGGGGTTGGGGAGTTAAGGCGTTAGTTGCGTTGAATGACAGTTGTGTCACTGGCATGTGTTTTTTTTTTTTTTTGGGACAACAACACAGCAGATCCTGTTCCAAATAAAAATGTATACTGTGCAGTTTGCTATTTTTCCTGCAGTAGGACTTTTTAAAATCTTTTCTTTTCATTTTCCTTAAGCCTTATTTGTAATTTTCTTGTAGCTTTTACCTGCTAATGCTAACAACTTTTCAACTTTGCAAATCCCTTTGCGGTCTCGCCCCCGTGTTTGTGTTTGTGTTTGTTTAACATGCGTGGGCGCCTGTAAATAGGCTACACAAGTTTTTGCTACCTTTTGCGTCACTTTACCGTTGGAAATTGCAAATAAACGTCGCTGTGGGAATTGTGGCTTTGTGTGTGTGTGTTGTTGTCAAGCGGTAGACTTTTAACACGCCTTTACTTCCCTTCCTTTTTATTTTGCTTCGTTCGTTTACCATTTCTCTTCCTCGACTCGATGCTATCGCCATTGACTGGTTAAACCTTGCATTGCGCTCGCAAATTGCTACAGAAAAATAAAGTCAAAGTTCGCCTAAATAAGCAAAACATTTCCGCCCTCTTCCACTGCGCGCCGCCTTTCTCGCCTGTTTTTTGTATGAGTGCTCTTGAATTGTTGGTGCGAGTTTGAAGAAGTTTTCGGCGTATGGCAACACTTTTCTCAAGTGCAGTTTATAAAAATTTACTCAGTTAATTTGCTTCGTTGTTGTGTATTGACGCAGCAAAATGGTTTTGAATAT